CAAAGTCTCATTAAAAGGTGCCAAAGATGACACAAAAATGGAGATAATTCAAATGCTCGAGACATTTATGGACAAGGTTGTGGTCTAGGTCGAGGTCGTGATCGTGGCTTTGGAAGAGGCCGAGGACGTGGTGGATATCAAAATAATAATGAAGAAAGTCGATACAAAAAAAAATGAAGAGTGGAAGAAAGAGCCAAAATATCAAAGGTACAACAAATGTCAGTTTCGTTGTTATATTTGCAAGAAATTTGATCGTTATGCTTCTGAATATTATCATAATCAAGAGAGAAAGCTAACCTTATTAAAGAAAAGGAAGATGATCCAGTTTATTATTAGCATTGAAAGAAGAAGATGGAAAAAAATGGTATTTAAATATTGGAGCAAGTAATCATATGTGCAGGGATAAAAACATATTCATAGAAATGGAGAGTCAAATTTATTTTGGCATCTCTTCAAAAATTCCTGTAAAAGGAAAAGATAAAATTCTTATTTTTCTTAAACATAAAACGGCGGCCTTGCGATGACCTGGTTAGGAGAGTAGAGGTATTAGATTTGACTTTTGTTAAGAAAGGTAGGGGTATACCTAAAAAGACCTGGTTAGAAAATATTAGGAATGACCTTTCTTTATTAGATTTAAACGAGAATTTGACTTTTAATAGGACACAATGGAGAAAAAGGATTCATGTAGCCGACCCCACGTTAGTGGGATAAAGGCTTGATGTTGTTGTTGTTGTTGTATGGAATTCATCAATTTACTTTTGATGTTTATTATGTGGTGGATATGAAAAGTAATATTTGAAGCTTAGGGCAATTACTCTAGAAAAGATTTAACCTTCATATGAAGGATAAAAAAGTCACTATTAAAACTAATTCAAATGAAATAATTTTTTAAGTGGGGATGAAAAATAATAGGATGTTTATTCTTAATATAAAAATGGAGTAATGAAATATTTAAAGATGTGTCAAAGATCAATCATGGCTTTGACATATGAGGCTTGGGCGTTTAAATTTTGGAGATCTAAATATATTTTGAGAAAATGAATAGTACATGAGTTACCAAATATCAATCATTCAAATCAAATTTATAAAGATTGTGTATTTGGAAAACAACTTAGAAAGAGTTTTCCAAATAAAGCAAGCTTTAGAGCAAAGAAGCCTCTTCAATTAATCCACATTGATGTATACAGACCCATTGCTCTAGCATCTTTTGGTAAGCATTGATATTTCTTAACTTTATTGATGATTATTCAAGAAAACATGAGTTTATTTTTTGAAAGAGAAATCAAAAGCTTTCATTATGTTTAAAAAATTCAAAGCACGTACAGAGAAAGAAAGTGAGTTTTCAATAAAATACATTAGATCAGATCGAGGAGGCAAATTCATGTCCAAAGCATTTACATAATATTGTGAATAACATGACATTCGACATCAATTAACAACACATTTTTCACCCCAACAAAATGGAGTAGTGGAAAGAAAAAATTGCACTATTCTTAATATGGTACGAAGCATGATCAAAATCAAGAATATGACTAAAGAATTTTGGGCTGAGGTAGTGTCATGTGATGTCTATACACTCAATCGATGCTCAATCTCAAGCTTACAGGATATGACACCACAAGAAGTATAGACAGGAAGAAAGTCAAAAATATCTCATTTGAATGTGTTTGGGAGCATTGCATATGTACATATTCCTGAATAAAGAATGACTAAGTTGGATGATAGAAGTTCTAAACTCATCCTCATCGGGTATCAATATGAATCTTATAAACTATTTGATCTTAAAACTTCAAAAATAATTTGTAGTAGAGATGTAGAGTTCAATGAAGGAGCATGAGATTGATAAAATAAAGATACTCAAAAGGAAGAACAAGTACCTGGGGAACTACAAGATGAAGAACAATTGTTTCAAATTTACAAGATTTACATTCTCCAAATACTTAACAAGATATTCAAAAGTGAAGGAAGACAAGAAATTTAAGAGAGCTTTATGAGGTAACTAATAAGCTTCATTTTATTTGCTTACTTGCAAATAATTAACCATTGAAATTTGAAGAAGTCATAAAAGATGAAAGATGGAGATGTGCTATGGATGAAGAGATCAAATCTCTAATAAAGAATGCAACATGGGAGCTCACAAAACCAAAAGAACATAAAGCTATTTTGGTTTATAATGGGTATATAAAATGAAGAAAAATATAAAAGGTGAATTAGAAAAGTAAAAGACATGATTAGTAGCAAAATGATACAAGCAAAAAGAAGCCATCAACTACAATGAGATATTTGCTCCCGTTATTCGTATGGAAACTATTCGCTTAATTATTTCTCTTGCTTCATAAAATAATTGGTCTATTCATCAAATGGATGTTAAATATGTATTTTTAAATGGAGTCATTGAAATGGCAGCTGCGAGATTCTGGTCGATGAACGTCTAGTGGTTGATGGTGGGGTTAGGTCATGAGGTACCATCCTGTTGAAGGGTTAGACGAGAGGGGATAGTTGCAATGTTGTCAAGGAAGGAAGCAAAGTTGTTGGCACTAAACAACCTTAGAATATGAGATCTCCATGTTGGGTAGTTTTCGTTTGACAAGGAGATGGGCATGATGTTCTTGATGTTGGAGATGAGAAACTTGCAAGAGGAAGGGATATGAGTGTTTTCAAAAAGGGTATTAGTATATGTCTCACTAGTGTGAGATGAGGGAGACGACGCCATTTGAGGGATTGGGGCTGTGAGCCGATGGACTCTGATACCATGTAAACAGAGCAGCCTTAGAGCATTGATGTTGTATAAGCATTAAAACAAAAAATAAACTATGCAGAGGTAAGCAGAGAAGGAGTAAAGGCTGTACCATCCGGATCCATTTTTGTGTAAAAGTATTTTCATACATACAATAATTAGCATTGTGTGTATATTTATATGTGAGTGTGGTGTTGATTTACATGTGTATGGATGAGATTGCTCTGATTTGTTGTAATCCTACGGTTCTTATTTTTTCTGTTTGAGTGGTGTCTGCTCCACTTGTCTGTTGGCAGGCGGCTGTGCTTTGCATGTGTGTAGAGTGGATGGTGTTTTTGAAGTACCTTTTTGGAAAAAGAAAAACTTTCAAGGATGCCGAATACTTTGTTCCCGATGGTAAGAAGAATAAGCTCCTCCCAGTACATGCTTTCCCGACTTAAAATCATCTCATAAGGGGTCAAACGAAATAAAGCAGATTAGTTAAAGAAATTAAGCTATGAACTTACTGAACGAAATTAACGTAACATCTATATAAAAGAAAATAATTTAGCAACGGAAAGATAGCATTGTGAATTCCTCTTCTTCACTGATAGAATTTTATTCGAGTTTATTAAGCTTATGAAGAAGTGGGATGGAGATTTACATAAATAATGAAGATTTATTGTTGTGTTCTGGAATATTCGCGGTGGTACCGTGGTAGATAAATATAAAGAAAGTGTGCTAGTTTTGTACGAAGATCTAACATGCATACAAATAAAAAAGTAGGGGTGTAGTGTTCATAAGAGACACCAAGATTTTTACGTGAAAAGTCCTGAAAAAGATAAAAACCATGAGATCTGACCTAATTTGATTAAATCCACTAATATTGATGGTTGAGTGCAAATGAGGCCCTTCATTGGGGGAAAGAATTTATGTAACAAATACGTACTATATAGAGCTCGTTACATTGTAGTTGTTCTTAAAAGTGTGTTGACATGTCTGTTTGGTTGGTAGGACCATAGCCGACAGGCAACGGTAGTCTGTGGGACTGTAGTTGGCAGGCGACAGAGGTGGGAGAGACAATAATTGGCAGATGACAGAGGTCGGAAGGACCATAGTCAGACGATCATGATCGGAAAGACTGTAATCGAGCGACATCAATCGAAAGGACTATAGCGGGCATAGTCGGACGAAAATGGTCGGAAGGACCACAGTCGGCGGGCGACAGAGGTTGAAAGGACCGCAGTTGGGCAATGGCAGTCGGAAAGGCTATAATCAGATGATGGTGATTGAAAGGACCGTAGTCATGCGAAGATGGTCAGAAGGACTATAGTTGGCGGGCGACAAAGGTCAAAAAGACCGTAGTTGGGCGAAGGTGATTGGAAGACCTTAGTCGGACGACAATGATTGGAAGGGCCGTAATCAGGGGACAGTGAAGCATATAAATTCTCCTATTTCCTTTAAGTATCATTCAATAATGATTGGTACTTTATGTAACAAATACATACTATATAGAGCTCGTTACATTGTAGTTGTTCTTAAAAGTGTGTTGACATGTGTGTTTAGTTGGTAGGACCATAGCCGACAGGCAACGATAGTCTATGGGACTGTAGTTGGCAGGTGACAGAGGTGGGAGAGACAATAATTGGCAGATGACAGAGGTCGGAAGGACCATAGTCAGACGATCATGATAGGAAAGACTGTAATCGAGCGACATCAATCGAAATGACTATAGCGGGCATAGTCGGACGAAAATGATCGGAAGGACCACAGTCGGCGGGCGGCAGAGGTTGAAAGGACCGCAGTTGGGCAATGGCAGTCGGAAAGGCTATAACAGATGATGGTGATTGAAAGGACCGTAGTCATGCGAAGATGGTCAGAAGGACTATAGTTGGCGGGCGACAAAGGTCAAAAAGACCGTAGTTGGGCGAAGGTGATTGGAAGACCTTAGTCGGACGACAGTGATTGGAAGGGCCGTAATCAGGGGACAGTGAAGCATATAAATTCTCCTATTTCCTTTAAGTATCATTCAATAATGATTGGTATTATTAACAACTGCAATGTTAATACTACCCAAACAGAACAAAATTAAACAAAATACTAATTTTAGCTCAAGAATTTTTCTTGTCAGCATGGCCCAAAGAAAAAAGTTCGCTTCCCGCCCCCTCACCCTCCCCCTTTCTAAAATTAACGTTATTTCTACAATAAAACAAGCATTTTCAACCCAAAATACCAGAAAAAGAAGCTAATCCTATGTAATCTGAACCTACTAATTGAATAGCTATTTTAATGAATACATTCAAATTTATAGCGAATACAATTCACTAAAATTACAGGCTTTCCAAGAAAAAAACAATTGTAATCTAATATGCTGACTTGCATTTATTCATCATATATAAACTTATCACAGAATCGACAATTGTCACCTCCTCTGCAAACAAAACAGAGCAGGGTCATTATAGCTAGTTAAGGGCTTCTCCAACCGAAAAATTCCTTTTTTCACTCCAAAATGCTGAGAAACTAAACAAATGTTGAATTTAATCTCTAATCGAATTTCATTTTTTTGCGCTTCTGCAAAGATAACCGTCTTCTCTTCTTTCGGACGTTTCTTCGGCAAATCCGGTTGAGACATAAAAATCGTGTGGTTGAACATAGCAACGCCAATATTGATGACTTTTTTGCTGATTAATACTATGCTTTAAAGTCTTTTGGAGTTCGGCTGGAGACCCTTACCAGCAGCTCAATGAACCAGATAAATCCATGAAAACAATCAGACAACACATTCATGGTTGAAGAAGCAACAGAAAAAGAATATAAAAGAATCCAAGAATGGATGAATCATCGGAGCGCAAATGTAGCTAATTTGGCTTGTAGTAGGCATAAATACCATAAAATGTCTGTGCAGAAGTGAGCAGAAGCAGAACAACAGCAGCGACTAAGGAGATGATAGCCCAGGGATTGTTAAAATACTTATGACTCAGGCTGGCTCTCCAAGCATTCCACCTATGGTTATAGTAACAATTCATCTGCTCCGATAGCCCCGACAAGTAGCAATTATTAATGTCGAACACTACCTCCTGGCAAAGCCGGTTGAACAAATCGGCCACCTCCCCGTCGTTCCCGAGCCAATGCTCGATGATTCCCCTGTGATGCAAGTACCCGACATCCACCTCTGAGTTTATAAGATTATCCATAAATATAACGTAGGAAGTTATGTGGTTGCTGCACTCCAAATGACACTGCTCGAATGCTATGAGGTTAAGGAAGAGAGATTTGGTCCCGTCGTGGATAAGAAGGCGGGGAATGTGCAGGATACCGTCCTTAAACTTAATGTCCCAAAACCGGTCGCTTTTTCGGCGCCGGAATTTGATGCCGACGTCGCGGAGCTCGGTGACGCAGTGGATGAGCTGCAGACGTCGTTTATCGGCGACAGGCCGCGCGTGGGACCAACGACGGCGGATCCATGGCCGTGAAGCTGGTTTTGGGCACGCGAGGAGGAGACTGCGGCGGAAGACATCGACACAATGGAGGGCCCCGCTGCTGCCAGCGTCGGAGAGAGGATCGAAGGATGCAGAGGAAGAGAGGGGCTCGTCAGTGGGTCTAAGGGGGTCGAAGAAACGGAGGGCAAGGGGAGCGACGAGGCCTGAGCGAGACGGTTCGTGGCCAAGCTGAAGGGCGAGGATTATGTCGAGGACGAAGAGAGGGAGCTGGTTCTCGAGCATGATCATGTCGCGCTGGAGCGAGTGCATGATGCCGCGGACGGCGAAGACGGGATCGTTGGGGGCGTAGCCGAGACGTGGGAAGCCCTCGCCGGCAACGCCGCGGAAGAGTTCGAGGGCGAATATGGCGTCGAGGACGAGGGATTCGACGAAGGCCTCGCCGGAGATGGAAAGGGGAGATTCGTAGCAGGCGCGGGCACGGTCTTCGAGGGAGCGGGCAGCGGCGAGGTAGAGGCGGACGTCGTGGCCAGCGCGGGTGAGCGCGTGGTGGAGGGCGCGCCATTTGTGGCGATCCATGTCGCGGAGTCGGCGGCGGCCGCGGTGGTAGGGGCCGATGGAGACGATCTGAGGGGCGTAGGCGGTCTCGTCAACGTCACGGAGGGATTTGGGGACGCGGTAGATGGATAGAGTCGCCCAGGGGGAGGAGGCCTCGTATTGCCGGGCTTGGTCGAGCTTTTCGCGGATGGACATGATCCATGGGGAGTCAAGCGACGGGGCCGGGGGAGGCGGCGGCGGCGTTGGCATAGATGATACTATGTAAATACTTAAAGAAAATAAAAGAAAATCATTAAAAAATCAGAATTTTAAAAGTATCATATTTGACATAAAATTTAGAAAAGAGCAATATATCAAAGTTTAAATCAAATTTAACATTTTAAAAATTTAATTAGATATATATTTTAATAATAATTTATTTAAATTTTAAATTTATTTTAATAATAACATACAAATATTTAATGTGTGTCATTAGCTATTTTATGTATCTCACATAAGAGCCTTAAATAAAGATCTGTTTGACTGAAAGATAAACTTTTGAGGTCATCCTCGTGTGTTAAGCTCTTTCCCAGCTCCTAGAGGGTCCATCGAACAATTTATTAAAAGAGAGGATTTGATCCTCCTTCTGCTCGACCCAAATGTAACATGTAAGACACCTATGAATAAGTACTTGCATAGGCAATCACGAGTTTAGACAAACGATATCCAAATTCTGCATGTTTATAATCATATCAGGCGTATCAATGAGATGAATCAGAGTATAAGATTGTTTAATTCTCACAATATAAAATTAGCTAAATATTGGAGGAGCAATTTATGATCGAGGGAACTAATATGACTTACATATTAGATAAATTTTATTTTGATTATATTTATGGGTGTGCCACTATAAAAAATATATAAATAAGCGCACACTCTTTATATGAGGGGGCTTGGAGTTGGACTTTTGCTTGAGATTTAAGAGAGATTAAAGGATTGATTTGAAAGCTCCACCCAAAACCACCACTAGACCTTCTGACCAGGCAACCATTGTTTTCGGACAACTGCCTACCAATGTCATTTAATCACCGCAGCTCGACCACGGTCCTCACACTATAGTTTCCCAACAATAGTTTTCCAACCACTGTTGCCCTTTTGCGGTCCTTCGACCCCGATAACTTGACTATGGGCCTTCAATTGCTATTGTCTAACTATGAAACCTCTGGCTATAATTACTGAACTATATTTCTTTGAACATTGTCACCTTTCTACTGTTCTCTGACCTTCGTCGCCTAATTACGATTCTCTTGACCATTATCGCTCTATCATGATCCTTTGACTTATGTCACTCGACTATAGTCTTCAGACCAATTTGTCCCAACTATGGTCTTTCAATATCCATCGTTTGACTATGATTTTCCAACTACCATTGTCCGAATGCAGTTCTTTAACCATCATTATCAACTTTGATCCTCTAACAAACATTACCCCATCTACGATGCTCAAATATGATCATCTGACAACTATCGTTTGATTATGATCTTCTAACCAACATTACCTGAACACAATCCTTAAACCATCATTGTCCAACTTTGGCTTTTCAACCATCGTTGCCCGAGACCTTAAGCCTTCTATCCATTATCGCCTAGCTACTCTGACGCCTATTAATTTAATCACCAAAGTTGCAAATAATATATATGCACATCATCTCTTATAAAATTGATGTATATCTTTGCACCGACTTTTACTCTCATTGTCATCACTTGGACTTATGTTGCACTTGCCATCTTCAAAAGATTACGATCAAACATATTAGCAAATAATCTCTTAAAGACAACTCACATATCATAGAACTTTTTCAGCCATAAATATGTAACAGCTTTTCATAAAAATATTGCCATCTCTTATAACTTTTTTTTTATGCATTCTAATTTCGTACAATACTAAGATAATAAATTCAGATGCTCTAATGTCACAAGTATTTTGTCACATAATAAAAATAATAAATATGACGATGACTATAAATGAATAATAATAATTTGGGTCCTCTAATGGCATGTGAGTTGTTGGTGGGGAATTAGAAGGAAGAACAATTGATGCAAACCTACTCAAAATCAAACATGAAACGTGCGGAGCATCCTCTCTTCACGTTAGGAAAGTAGTACGTCTGCTATTATTTATTTCTGGGGGTGTTTTGTAAAAAAAGCAAGCGTTACCTTGACGTTATTAACGTGGAGGCTTAGCGTGAAATTTTAATCTGTACTATGTTTAGTTATATTGTTTTAATATTGTGAACATAAATTAAAATAATAAGATGTTGCTTACTTGCTTCGTAGTTCTTAGGAATTAGCATAAGAATTCGTTAAATATACGGTAATAGTTTTGGACTTTTATGTGGCCAATAATAAGAAAAACTTTAGATTGTCTTCGTTGGAGATAATTTTTTATTATTTTCTAAATCATTTTTTTAGTATAAATATTTTTTAAATTCAAAATTTTTATACTATAAAAATATTTTAAAAACAATAAAAAAAGCTGTCACATAAGAAGCTAGATTAGCTTATAAATATGAGATTTCTAAAGTTCTTTAGTATTTCTTCTTTTAATTGAAGAAAATTTTAGAGAGAGATTTATTTATTGAATGAAAATAAAATTGATAATCAGCTTCAGCCTAAGTGATTAGGAATTTAGGATTGCTTGAGAGGGCTGCATTTTTGTCGTTTGTTTATCTCGATATATCAGTTATAAACTTATAATCAACCTTGAGCTTGATATAATCAATCGGGAGGATTTCTGAGGATGAGAAGTTTTGGTTTTAGACATAAGTCTTTCATAACTTGCTTTACTAATGATGTGCAGAAAGTCATGAATTTGTACCATAACAAAGCTTAGGCTTTGTTTGGGACGGCTTTTTATTGCTTCTTGAAGTAACTTTTTAGTATAAAAGTTAAAACTTTTGTATTAAAAGGCTGCTTTAAGAAGCAGTAAAAAAACAGTCCCAAACGAAGCCTTAGACTTTATTTGGGACGTCTTTTTTACTTCTTTTTAGAGCAGCTTCATAATACAAACTTTATAGTTCAAAAAATTTTTGTACTAAAAAATCATTTTAGAAAGCAATAAGAAAGTTGTCCTAAATAAAATCTTACACTGCATTAAGACCTATATTGCAATTGCCACCACATGACGTGCACAACAACAACAATAAGCATTGTGCCTTAATTATGAAACTACAACTCTGAGTTTTTCATATTTATGTAAGATTATGGATCTATTCTGCTTGCTTATGTGTATGACATAAAAATAAAACTAGAATAATTGAGATGATGGTATAAATTGTAATGTATTAAATTTGAAAATAGTCTCCAAATTATTTGTATATGATAATTTTAATTTCAGAGTATAACGTTGTTCTAATTTAGTCCATCAACTATACTAAATTGATCCCAAATGGTTTCTTTGGGGCTAAAGTGAGATCAATTTTTTAAACATGATGGAATAAATTGGGATCAACTTTATATCACAATTATAATATGAGAGACTATTTTGAATCAATTTTGTATAATCAAGAGACTAAATTGGGGCAACATGATACTCTTGAACTAAATTAGTCATATATGAATAATCTGGATATATTTTTTTTTAATTTTAGTTAAATTTTATATATTTAACATATCTTAAAATAAATCAAATAATTTTGATATCAATATTCTCATTTTTCTATCTTTCATGCATCAGCGTGAGATCTGCATTCTGCCATGTGATGGTTTGTGCATACGCAGAAAATTAATTGTTTTTAAACTATTCTAATAATGGAAATGTGGGGCCTTTAATGATTTGTGAGTTAGATGAGAATAGATGAGATTTTACATAATCATGATGATGTTTAGGATTAGCTTTAAAATTAAAAAGGATTTTTCATATGGCCGATTATTATGGGCTTACTAATTTTTTTTTAAATATGGGCTGATTTTTATTTTGGGCTTGACCAGCAGAATCAAATTTTAAGACTTTTTTAGCATATTATTATGGCTTACTTTTTTTTTTAATTCTTTTTTCTCCTTTTTGGCTTGACCCAATGTGTGAGAATAAATCAATTCAAGGCACAACTATTTTTTTTTTGGCCCCAAAAAATAAAATTTATTAGAAAAGATGAGCAATACAACATGAGGTCAAAATTTGGCCAAAGAAAGCAAGGAAAAAGCCAACAAAATTACAATAAAGAACAGAGGCCAAATAGTCTAAACAAAACAAAATAAATACTGCCCCAAAAGCAACAGGACTCAGATCGCCACCTAGATGCCAAGCTTGAGCCATCCAAGGAGGAAGAGAATGCACCAGCAGAAATCCAACAAAAATAAAAAACCATGAAATCTGAGAGAAAACAAACCACCAAGGTTGTTGAACAATCCTAGTCCGTCCAAGGGGAATGCAGAAAATCTGCACATCATTGTCCAAAACCAACCACAAGCGACTAGATATAAACACCCAAAATCATTTCATGTTAGCTTTTTCTCCGTTTTCGAAAACCTACTTTTTTGAAAGAGCTAGCCTCAGCAACACAGATCACATTAAGATCATAAATCCCCATAGACTCATGCACATTAAAGTCATTCTTAGCACCCCACATAGGAGTATCATAATCATCCAACTAGTCACCCTTAGCCAACTTAAAATCTGTCCCATTAGCAGCCAGTTTAGCAAACAAAGCATCATTCCCTATTAGAGATATAGGGACATTAATGAGAGGGCTAGAAGATTCCACCTTTGATCTTTCATAATCATTGATAAGAGGCAAAGCAAGCCCGACATTAACATTCTCAATCAATAAACTCGAGGCAGAAGATACCAAATGAACATCAGCTTCACTGCCCATAACTCCCAAAGAAATATAATTACAATCTACCTCAACATTAGCATCACCTCCCACATTAGGAGACGGAGTTGGAGAAGAAACACAATTAACCAAGCACGAGATAAGGCTCACAACCACCATGGCACCCTCCTAGTTGATACAAGACACATCAACAATATTACCTATTATATTACAAACACCATAATCATAAGCCACAATATTAATAGGTGAAACATGTAGCTTGAAGTGACATTATCCAAATTTGAAATGACTACACACACATTAGTATCGGATGCCTGCCGAACATCAGTCCCAGCCACAACAACTTCAAGACCATTACACCACAAGAATCATTTTTAATACCCTCATCACACATCCCCATTTTAGGATGAAATTTATACGAGTTATAAATTGAACCAAAGGGCTCAGTGGGCCAATGACTATCTAGGCTACCAAAGTGAGATTAATATTACCATCATTCAAAAAAAAAAAATCATCTTAGAAAGCATTCCAAGCATTCCAATGAATTGATTTTGATCTCTAGGGACTAGGAATGTGCCCAATTTTAAAACACTCAAATTTCTCAATCTTTAACTTTTTATTTTGAACAAATAATTTTGAAGAACTTCATCTTTTACCTCATATTTCCTATTAATTTGATTTACAATAAGCTGAGAGCTATAGTACATAGCCAAATGCTTCACACCTACTCCTATAGTTAATCTTAAGCTTGTGATCAACACTTTATTCTACTTTATTATTGGTGATTTGAAAGCCTAATTTGATCATGTAGGAAATTGTTGTTCTTGTTAGACTCCTCAAAGCTACTCCAATGTAGACTCCTTTTGCATTTGAGGCACCATCAACATAAAGAGTCCATAACAAGTCTATCTTTATAGTCCTCTCATCCATAACACTGATTATATTAAGTTAGCTAGTGTCTCCGCCTTAATGGAGGTTCTATGTGTGAATTTGAAGCTTGCTAAGTTCTATAACTCATTATGGGTGTGAGAATAGAAAGACAATAAAATTTTTTTAGGACTTCCTTTCTTTCATATGAGATTTCAATTATTCCCTTATTACATAACTAAATATCTAGAAAATCAGGTTCAAGCCTAGTCAGCCTGATTCTTACTAATATAACTCAGAATACTCCATCTAAGCTTAAAAAGTAGTTGTTAATCTATAAGTGAACTCACCTCAAGCAAGTGACTATGATCTAAAAACCCATCTCAAACAGACAAGTGCAGCCTATCAACCAACCTTAACATGTATAACCTATGAATGATTATCTAGCTACTTGTCTATTAATATACATCAAGTAGACGACTTCTTAATAGTTAAGCATTCCAATTAAGATATACAACTATATTTTTCTGATATCTTTTGAATACTCATGTATATAATCAATTTTATAAGGTTCAAGCCCTACCTAAGGGCAAGATCAATTTACCCAGTTTTTTATACTCAAACTTACTTTATGGAAATCTTAGAGATTCTTACTCTAAATTATTTCTTCTCTTTTTTTTCTGCTCTTATTTCGCTCAATAATCTCAATATAGTCATTCGTGATTCACGAAAAACTTTAAATTTAACAGTGACATAAACTAGAATCAAATGTCTCCTATTTTTTATTTTTTTATGAATAGAAATCTCATATGTGTTAAAATGATCGATATGTGATATTATATAACTAGTCTTTATTTGCATGAACGAATATTAATTTAAACTTAATTATAAATAATTTAAATAAATATTTTATACTTAATTTTAATTTAAACTTTGGATAATACACTTATCAAACAAGAGTGTATAACCGCACTCCATAATTATAGAACAATTGATATTTTTTCATCTTTGGTATCTTGACCATTCATGCTGGAATCTCTATTGCTAACATTGGATGTAGCTACAGGCAGCTCTGATTCTCCTGCATTTCTTTCAATTTCAGATGAGCTTATATAATCCCTGCTTTTGCCCCACAGGAGTGCGTAGAGACCTGCCACCATTATAATAGCTCCAATAATCCTGTAAAAGTTACCAATGAAGAAGAGTCAAAAGAGTTCATAGATAGAATTCAACAATGCAGTTATTAAAGGAACGTTTGCTATTTTTTCAGTCAGTGGTTGTTTGAAACTGTTCTTGTATTGAGAAAATGCTTTTGATAGCATAGACTTTATAATGGAATGTTGTTAAGAAAATAGGAATATTCATTAGCCAAATCTATAGTTGAGATGTGCAGGGGCAGACTCAGCCTTAATTTTCATGGGGGCAAACTTATAAGTAACTGTTGGTGTCGCTACAATAAAATGGGTCAATAACGACAAAAAAAGTGACAAAAATAAAATGGTCACTAAAGATGATTAATCATTCAATTTCTACAAATTGTATGTTGAAGTTGCCTTGAATTTAGCTCGACCCCTATTTGTTTATATTCTTGATCCGCTTCACAGATATGTCGAGGGTCCAAGGGGCTAGCGCCTCCTGGCAGATCAGGTCGTGGGGTCAAGGGGGAAGCGCCCCCAGAACAATTTCTTTTTTCGCCCGGGGGGGGGGGTTTCCAGAATGGGGGGGGGGGGGGGGGGGGGGGGGTTTCCAGAATGGAGGACCATAGTATTTTAAAACATGTTGGGGGGCAATTACCTAAAAACCCTTGTAATAAAGGGAAAATTATTACATTCGGTGAACAAACCGGAAATCCGGACGTATACCGAGCAATACCGAGTGCTCAATACCAAGCTCCAGGTGATGTGGCGCGTGGGTATTGGCCTCTGGACGCGTTCGGTGTCCGGATGTAATAATTACTCGTAATAAAGACTAAAAAATAGATAAAGATAGACAAATTACCTAAAAAATCATATAATAAACCTCCCCTGAGTTTAAGGGGGATCCGCCCATAGAGATGTTGCTAATGATGTTGGCCATTTATGGGAGTAAAATTTTTTCAAATAATTAAATTGCTAGACATAATATTTACTATTTTAAAAAGAATTATAACATCTTATTCATAGTTCATTAATGCTTACATTCCTAGAGATAACTTTTCTGCCAGAATGAAGGAGCCCATAATGGCAGTCATAATCATGACAAGAGGGCTAAAAGCACTTGCAAACACTGGACCCCTCTCCTTCATCACTATCCCTTGCACATAATAAGCAACTCCAGTGCATACCACCCCCTGCAAAATTATAAGCATGAGAGCTGCTCTCTTCCAGACATAAAACCTTCACAGGCTTCTTCAAGTTCTACACTTATAGCAAGTGCTGTAATTTATATAGAACATTATACAAATCCAAAAGAACTTTTCCTCTATGTGAACAACTTTCTACAAATAAGAGAAAGGATATTCTTACAGTGTAGATTGGGGCAAGAAGCCGCTTATCCAAACCTATAATCCATGGCTTGCTACTTGCATGATTTGCCACTAAGGCAACCGTAGTACTCATCACCGCACCCATTGAGCAGATCAAAGCAGTAAGAGTAAGTTCAGCTGGATATGATTCCAATGTGTTTGACTGTGTTAATAGAACATACTTAGTTAATCACTTGCAATTAGTGCATGCTTAACTTAATAAATTGGAATTAAAAAGGGCTTTTTTGGATTACTTGTAGGATTAAGAAGGCTGACCAGCTGGTGCTGCTCCCTATAATCATAAATGTGCCTTTCATCCACTTGGATCTGTCTTTGCCTTGCCCAATGGAACTAGCAGAGTTGCTTTGTTTCTCTCGAGCTTTGGAGTAAAAGACTAGATCGAAGATGGGGCCTTTGTATAGAATCATGAGAACTGCACCAGCCACTGTCAGGAGGGTTCCTATTACCTTTGCTTGGCCTCTTCTTCTCCTTATGTCGAACTTCTCAGTTCTAATTAATTTTGAAAAAAAACTTATAAATGAAGTTCAAGTTTATGTAAAGTATTAAGTTTGGAGTATACTATATATCTGTAAAGATAATAAGAGAAAGTGGGATAAATGATGTTAAGTTTTTTGGACGATGAGGTGAAAATTGTTGTGCAAGTTCGATGAAAAGTATAAAGAAGTTTGATTTAAGAAATACAGAAAACCAACTTATGAGCAGACAATTTTGAACAATCAGATATTCCTTATTTTTAAGGGGGATTTACATCCAAAGCAGTCAAAATTATAGCATTTACATAATTAACGCCTAAAACTCACTATTACATAATATAGCACTAGGTTAATAGAGTCAATGAAACCCTTAATGATGAAAAGGAAGTTGCGACGGATCTCGCCTAACGCAAGGAAGTCTCGACGGATCTTACTAGGAAGGGGCTTCAACTGCTATGGCGCTATCCCCCTTCTCTGCCAGCAGGAGCTTCCATTAACGAAGAAGAGATGAGGAAGTCGCGAAGGATGTTGTCGGGAATTTTGACATCTATGATGCACTGCTTTAGCGGAATCATCCTCAAATCTTTTAGCCTAACGTGACACCCTCGTTGTATTCTTCTCTTATAACTTCAGCCGCCCTTTACTGAAACCCCACTGCTGCATCGATTTACTACCAACAACCTCTCCCTTGCCATCAGTGTGGTGATTGTAGCGTAAAGGGAGAGGAGGATGTTATTTTGTGTTATTTTATAGGTTAAACATATAAATTCTATAATTTTTAGTGTCATGTATTTAAAACCCCTTATTTTTAAATGCATGTTGGATATATATAATTTTTTTAAATTTTATCATAAAGGAAATCAAATTGAACTACAAATAAGTTTCCTGTATACTCAAATAAAAACTTAGATGAAATAGAATTTACAACACATAAAGCAGATCTCTGAACATTGGAGGTGTGATTAACAATCATGATGATGAAATGAATTTGAACTATGTAATTTTGTACTTAATTGAAGAAGGTAATATTTTGACATAAAGTAAAATTAAAGGAAAATAACTTCCTATGTGTTTGTATCAACAAATTAATTTAAGGATTACCTGAGAACAAGGGCCATAAGGTAAGTAATTGCTGGAATTATGTTCTCAAGCGTAGAAGCAAAACTAGCTGAGGTCAACTTAGCTCCCATACAGTAGAAGTTTTGCTCAAGCACTGGCCTATAATTATAAAACAAGAAGCATAGTTAGTTTGCTATGGACCACAACATATTTTATTGAATGAATATTAAGCTAAGAAAGCAAAGGGCTGGAACCATTACTCCAAAACTGCAAGTGCCAATATCTTGATGAAGATGATTGGTGTGATCTTAGGTCTCCCTTTCCTGTAATAAAACAATGAAGTATCAATACATCATAGTTCAATGTTCAACCTTGATCATTCTGAAACCTTGTTCTGAGTATTATTTGCTTTAGGCTTCGTTTGGGACAGCTTTTTTATTGCTTCTTAAAACAGTTTTCTTGTTTAAAAATTAAAAATTTTGTACTAGAAAGCTGCTATAAGAAGCATTAAGAAAGCCGTCCCAAACGAAACCTTAGACACTTGTTTCATGAAACAATAAAAGATTTTTTAGATAAATTGAAGGTAAGTGAGAAGAAATGAAATGAAGATTTAGAACAGATTGATTGATTATGAATCTATCGCTATTGATTTAAACTTTCCACCATAAATTATTGGAAACTTACTTACCTGCAATCTCCAATTTGTTTGGAAGAAAAGTGAAGCAAATGAAATAAAATTCTAACAATTTCCGGTTGAATATGATGAATCCATAACTAATCATTTGAACCTTTTTTTTTCTTTCACTTAAGCTCTAAGCATCAAAACACACCATAAAATTTTATAAGCATATGAACTGACTTATCAAAATCTTATTTCATACAGAATCATTATAATCAGACTGAAGCTTAAATTATTTATTCTTCTTATAAGGTAAAAGGGAGATAACCTCTCAAACCAGAGTGCGAAAGGAGCAATGACAGCCGCAGCAACAATATTACGATATACAACGAGCACAAATTGGTTCATCCCATCCTTGAGAGTTGCCACAGAGATTATGAACATACCGGCATAGCTAAACTGTAGCAAAATCATGGCCACGTAAGGCTTCATCTTCTGCAAAGCTTTTGGGCATCCATTGCCTCCTATGAGCATCTTTGTCTTGGTAGTTTCTTCACACTTCTTAGCAGTTAATCAGAAAGATTGAAGTGCACTTGCTCTCATCTTCCTTAAAAGAGCCTTCAAGCATGTGTATATATATATATACACATATACTCTACGAGTAAATGCAGCACCAAACTTATTTTGCCTTAGTCATTACTGTTTATAAATTAAATTGAGTAAGTGGCAGCTACCTTAACAGGTGTTTGGTCAGCAACATTAATAGGGTAGCTACTGTATTTTTATTTTTATTTTTTTATTTTGGTGACGAGGAACCGTCTGCTACCACGTCAGGCTTCGTCGAGCGCATTTGGCGGTCCATAAACCCCGGCCGACCTACTGGGCCACCCACGCCACTGTACCCGCAGCCGGCGCTTTGGGGCCCCCACTGAAGGGGCGACTGACGCTCGAGGGAATCAAACTCGAGATGGGGGGTTCCCAACCGAGCACAGTAGCTACTGTATCAATAGAGTTTATAGCAGTAGTATAATAAAATAACGAAAGTAGTTATGAATGAAAAAAATGAAAACAACAACTACATAAGCAAAATTATGAAGACAGAACTGAAATACAAATAGAGCTATTGCTTAAACTTAGTATGGCAATTAAATTCGACTACTTAGTATGGCAAAATGTCCTATAAACCTTTCGTATTTTCTATTTTTATAGTAATTTTTAAAATCTATTTTAAGTGACATTACCTATATATTTTAGGGGAAAAAAGAAAGAAAAGTTATTTACCAGGTAAAAAATATGCATGTTAGGACATCTCCAACCGAAAACCCATTTTTCACTCCAATCGAATTGTATTTTTTCTCTTCTTTCACACGGTTCCTGCGAAGGTAACCATTTTTCTCCTCTTTCTCGTGCTTAGAGCATCTCCAACCGAACGCGAAACGAGCGTATGGCGTCGTTCTGTCGCTCCAGCCGATCGCCAAATTTTCCGCCATTTACTTGCGGGTGAACAGTGCGACGCCAATATTGGCGTGACACTGTTCACCTGCGCTATTTTGCTCTCTCATATGGAAAAACGCACGAAAGGGAGAAGGATCGTTACCTTCGCAAAAGCACATAAAATGACGTTTTATTGGAGCAGCACCACGGAATTTTGGAGTTCTGTTATTTTTTGCCGTGAAAAATGGAGTTCTCCGTTGGAGATGCCCTTATTCGGCAAATCCCGTAGCCCAGGATTGTTCACCTACGGAACTTTGGCGTGAGAATTGGAGTTTGAATGGACCGAATGGCCAATGGCATACAGTGGTATACAGTTCGGTTGAAGATGATCTTAAATCTCTAATGCAGTTTTCTTTACCTTGTGATAAACCAGAAAGAAAGCTTTCCGATTCATTCATTCAGAGTTATCAAAAAAAAAAAAACAGAAAGAGAAATACATTCTACATTCCTTCATAGTGCCATATTTTCAGCAAAGTTTTATATTGCATGTAAATAAATATACAATATTAGCTTTCCCACTCATCATTTGAGAAACCGTCCTGCGATTACAAAGTCATATTGTTAATTTTATGGGCATGACATGTCATTCAACTTGAATGACATTTAAATAATAAAAAGCCATAAAGTGCCATTTATGAACAAATTAATTTTACACGCAAAGTTCATCAAAACACTTCCTTGGACAGTAAATAGCTGTCGAAAATAATACTTTTTTGAGACATTTAAGTCAATTAAGACAAATTAATACACACATTATATACGCGAAATTCGAATCCAAGATATCTTAATTGTTAGTCAAAACTCTTAACCAATAAATCAAGATGAGTTGCGTAACAAAAACAATGTTGGGCATTAGTTTTTTGCCTCCACGTTTAGGCTTTGGTAGTTTTCAAAGTATCCTTTCTTGGTGGTTCATTAATTTATTGCTTCAATGCATATAATGTTTAGTCAATTCTTTTATCTTTCTTTCTCCCTTGGTTTCCAGCTCCTTCACCACCTACTGTCATTTCTCTCCCATGAAAAGTGCGTGGCCAATTTTATCTGAACAAAAGGTTCATAGGACATTTTGCATATTCCTCAGCATAATGCTGATCCACTAATTGGGTTTTTGTCGCTAACAATGTAGATTATTATAATCTTCATTATTTTTAAAGGAAAATTTTGAAATATTAAAAGTTTGTTTGAGATGGCTGCAAAGTTTTATAAAGTTAATTATGAAGTTGACTTAGGCTTCGTTTGGGACGATTTTCTTACTACTTCTTAAAGCAACTTTTAGTATAAAAGATTGTACTAAAAAGTTTAGGATTTAAGAAGCAGTAAGAATTAAAGCCATCCCAAACGAAGCCTTAGAGAAACTAACTTCGCTACTATGATTATAGAAAACAGCTTTCCACCTCATAAATTTTTAAAAATCAATAAGAAAGCAGTAGTTAAACAAAATTGTGTTTGGTATGTGAAAAGCAAAACGACTAGAAAGTTGTCCCAAATAGATCCTAAAAAGAACTACTTATTAAAGAATTGGTGGGCTAGAATTATGTTAGAAGGTGAGATTGATGTCTATTAATAATTTTCATTAGTATTAATTGGAGGGTTGATATGCATCTTAATGCAATCAAGCAATGTGAGAGCTGGATGGACAATCATCATCGCGTAATTGCCATCGTTGCGAACTTTACGACCACTTTATTAAATGATTGGAATGACTTCTCGAGCAATTGTTTATGATCAAATAATTAATAGTAAATGCAGTTCATTCTAATCTTTTGTTTGGTGGCTTAATCTTCTAATTAAGAGTTTTTGGACTCAAAACTTGTATATGTGTTGCGTGTGCTTGTGATTTATTTAGTTCAAAATTTTAAAAAATGAAAAATAAAAGAATTTATACACCTAATAATAATAGCTTATGTTCATCATTTTTAGCCCTCATTATTGTAGATTTTGAATTGCTTTATCTATATTATAGTATTGATAAAAAATAATACTAAATAATTGAAATGAAATATAAAATCAAATCATATAAAAAATAATTATGAGTGATATTTCAGCAGATCATTTCTTCAAAGTATAGCCTGAGATACCAATAAAGTAAAGATCATCTCTACAAACGGAAAGGGCAGCCAACATAATTCATTTTTTCTGTCATTGCCATCCTAACACAAACGCACCCACACAAAGCTAACATAATCAGCAAGCACTAAAAGCCGTAAATGAAGCAACCATTATCCATCAATTATTAAAGCTTATCAAAAGCAACTGAAAGAATATGCTTTAAATTCTTTCTTTTAAATAAAAATTTTATTTGGGACAGTTTTGGCCATTGTTATTGTTAATAACAGCTCACCAAAGATTAAGAAATGAAGCTCTACCAAATAATACGGATACAAGGACTGAATGTACTATCCAACAAACTCAACCTATCATATCATCACAGGTGTAACGTTAGTTTTATAAATACAGCCTATTGTACCATACTATTTGTAGAGCTTCATCAGACATGTAACATGTGTAGAGCAATTTTGGAAGTATTTTATATCTTCACCACTTTTCACTCTGCTGTTGAAAAACAACTTTCTTCAACTATCAAATACATTCGCAGTGATGGTGGCATTGAATTCCTCAACAACAGGTTCCAAAACTATCTCAAACTATATGGCATTAATCATCAAATCAGCTGCCCCTACACACCCGAGCTAAATGGTCTCATTGAAAGAAAATATCAACACATCCTAGAGACCACTCGAACCTTACACCATACTGCTAGTCTTCCTCTGCACTTTTGGCTTGACACTCTTCTCACTGCAGTGTACCTTATCAACCTAATACCATCTCCCAACACCTCCAATAAATCTCCCTATCAACTATTCTACAACAAGCCTCCTCAATACTCTCATTTTCGTGTCTTTCATCTGTGCATGTTATCTACTCCTCCCATCAAATGCCTGTCACAAACTTGCTCTTAAATCCCCACAATCGGTATTTCTAGGATATGCATCATCATATAAAGGCTATAAATGTCTTGAACCACTCTCAAGACGAATATACATTTTTCATCATGTCACCTTTGATAAAGATTATTTTCCCTTTGCTAACAATGCCAACTTGTCTCCTAACAGGCCACCCGACCATCCCCACAATCCACATTTACTTATACCAACTTCCCTTACCAATTCATCCAAAACCCATTCTTCTAATGTTGTACCCAACAATACTCATCATCACTCCTCACAAATCTTCCCATAGATCCCTTCGGTTATAGCCCAATCCTCGTCTCCAATCTCCTCTCCCTCACCAACTGAGTCTCCTATCCCACCAATTCCTTTACCAGATCCTCTACCGTCTTCTCATCCTATGCTTACTTGACTCAAGACAGGTTCTCTCAAGCCTAAACAAATATTTAACTTCAATCACTCAACCACTACACCAAATCCGGATCCATCCTCTTATACTGAAGCTGCTCAACACTTCCATTGGCGCAATGCTATGACAATTGAATTTTTGGCCCTTCAAAAATAAGGAACATGACATCTTATTCCTCCTCCAACCAATGCCCTCATCCTTGGCTATCGTTGGACCTACAAAACCAAATGACATGCCGTCAGATCCATTGCTATATACAAGGCCAGACTTGTTGCTCAAGGCCATCGACAAGAGTATGGTCTCAATTACAAAGAAACATTTAGTCATGTTACCAAATTCCCCACTATCCGCATCCTTCTTACGTTGGCCCTCACCAATTCATGGTCTATACATTAGCTTGACGTTGTTAACGTTTTCCTCTGTGGCTCACTTCAAGAAACTGTTTATCTGAAACAACATCGAGGCTTCGAAGACACTCAATTTTCTAATCATATTTTCCTTCTACAAAAGTCGCTCTACGGACTCAAACAAGCTCCTCGATAGTGGTTCAAAACTTTTTCTGATCACCTTCTGTCCCTCAGCTTTCATCATAGCTCATCCAATCCTTCCCTATTTCTTCTCCACCAAAACAACATTCAGACTTATCTCCTAATCTACGTATATGATATTCTTTTAACCGATAATGATCCTCAATTTCTACTCTAACTCATTTATTCTCTCAACAGAAAATTCTCAATAAAGCATCTTGGCACTCCAACCAATTTCCTAGGCATCCAAATTACTACACATAACAATCATCTTCATCTTTCTCAAACTTCCTACGTTAACAACATTCTCCATCAAGCCGGTCTC